TGATACTTTGAGCCAACAGTGGTATCAGAGCCATTGTACTCTAACAAGTCACCTCTGTCTTACCAATGGCCAAAACCTCTGGAACCAGCGACAGCACCTCCTCTTCTAGTGCAAACTCTCCAACCCATGATTCTAATACCAGCAACCCGAACGCCGCAGCCATTGCCCTCAACCATGCTACTCGAGAACCCATATCCTTCAACTCCGTTGCGTTTCCTCTTAAGCTAACCCCCACCAATTATCCCTCCTGGAAGACACAATTCACATGTCTTATTGTAGGTTATGATTTACTTGGTTTTCTAGATGGAACAAATCCGTGTCCTATGGCTACGGAACCAACCTATGCTCTCTGGGCTCGACAAGATCAACTCTTACGCCATGCACTCATTACTTCAGTTTCAGAGAACATCACACCCTACATTGCTGCAGCACCCACTGCTCAACATGCTTGGGAAACGCTAGCCAACCTCTATGCAAACCGGTAACGTTCTCGAGTGATCACACTGAAGGAGCGACTTCAAAACATGCATCATGATGGCAAATTTGTCTCTGAATATCTCCGCACTCTGAAAGCGGTGGCAGACGAATTAGGTATGATTGATTGACCCCTTTCTGATGATGATCTAACAGTATATATTTTGAATGGCCTAGGTCCAGAATTTCGAGAGATTGCAGCATCTCTTCGAACACGTGACACCTCCCTGTCCTTTGATGATCTCCATGATCGGTTGGTGGCTCATGAAGAAAGTCTCCACCGGGAAGATACCAAATTGGAATCTACTCCCTTCACTGCTCACTTTGCTCGAGTAGCCACAACACCCTCTTCCTCCGTCGGGACCTCTGTTGGACTGTTGCCCACACCTCACAATGGTCAGTTCTTCACTCCACCACCTCGGAACTATCGAGGGCCCCTTTCCTCCAACAGACCCTTCTCTGGGAATAGACGGCGTGGATCTTTTGGCAGGCCCAACAATCGGCCTACTGCTCAAGCTTGTCAGTTGCGCCACAATTCAGGCCATTTTGCCCACAATTGTCCGTTTTATCGGGTTCAACAACACCCTCCGCATGCCAATTTTGCATCCTCTCCCAACATTGCTTCTGAGGATTGGCTACTTGACTCTGGTGCAACTCACCATGTGACCACGGACCTTGCTAATCTCGCCTTGCACTCTGAATATCTTGGCCCTGATGAACTTCAAATTGGGGATGGAATAGGTTTGAAAATCACACATGTGGGTGATACCACATTACCTACCTCTTCAACCTCTTTTCCTTTACGTAATGTTTTATGTGTTCCCTCTGCTTCTAAGAACTTAATATCTGTTTCTCAATTATGTAAACATACTAATGCCATTGTCGAATTTCACCCTGATTATTTTTTGGTGAAGGATCGAAGCACGGGGGCGACAATGTTGCGCGGTCCAAACATACATGGAGTTTATAAACTCCTAAGCAAAACTAAGCCTGTGGCTCTGGTTGGTGAATGTGTCTCTTTGGCGAACTGGCATGCACACTTAGGTCATCCTAATACAAAGACCATAAAATCTATAACTCGTGTTTTTCAATTACCTATTTCTAATAAAATGGACTTTTCTTTATGTGAATCTTGTGCGTGCTCTAAGAGTCATAAGTTACCCTTTTTCTCATTCATCTATCACAAGTCATGCTCCACTAGAACACATCTATTCGAATGTTTGGGGTCTGGCCCCAATCGTCTCTATAGATGGATTTAATTATTTTGTATTGTTTATCGACCATTTTAGTCACTACATTTGGATTTTTCCCATAAAGTACAAATATGATGTTTCAATAATTTTTCCCAAATTTAAATCTCTTGTTGAAACTCAATTTGGTCTTTCAATTAAAAATTTTCATTCCGATGGCGGGGGTGAGTACATTGCACTTCGTGCTTTTCTTTCTAAAATTGGTATTTCCCATATTATCACACCACCTTATACTCCTGAACTTAATGGTATTAGTGAGCGTCAAAATCGACATATTGTCGAAATAGGCCTTACTTTACTCCACACTGCATCCTTGCCATCCAAGTTTTGGTCTTTTGCATTCCAAACTGCTGTCTACCTAATTAATAGGTTGCCAACAGTGACCTTGTCCTCTATATCTCCCTTAGAAAAATTATTTAAAGTCAAACCAAATTACTTAAAGTTGCGCATTTTTGGTTACCCTTGTTTTCCATGGCTCCGTCCATATAATAATAATAAACTACAACATCGCTCTCATCCTTGTATTTTTTTGGGCTATTCACCGAACAACTTGAGTTACAAATGTTTTGACATTCACTCTAGAAAGCTTTTTTATTCGCGGCATGTTATTTTCAATGAAAATCAATTTCCCTATAATACTCCTACTCTACAAAACTCTCTCTCAAGTTCCCCCACCCATAGTTTTTCTAATTCCTCCTTTCCTCATGACTTCACTGCACAGCCAGTTCTCATTGACATTGCTTGCCACCGCCCGGCTGTTGATCGCTCAATGTTGCCTCCTTGTGCTGCGGTTCCCCATCATGAGGTAGTCCCCGTGTCCACCAAACTAGCTGTTCCTCACTCACCTGCCTCTCCGACAGCTTCTACCTCCACCCCTCGGTCTCCTACTCAAAGCCCCTGTCCAACCTCAACCCCCACAATCACCCCCACCATAGCTGAATTGGACTCCTCTCCTCCTCTATCCTCCACCCACGCCACTTTTGATGCCCTCCCACTACCACCGCCTTCCCTACCTATGCACACTCATCCCATGGTCACCCATTCTCAAAACAACATCTTTAAACCAAAATCCTTCCATCATGCAACCATGGCCTCTCCACTCCCTTCACCTGAACCCACTTGTGTGTCTCAAGCACTCAAAGATTTCCATTGGAGACGGGCCATGTCTGAGGAGTTCAATGCGTTGATCCGTCAAGGGACGTGGGAGCTAGTACCCTATCACCCGAATCAACATGTTCTTGGCTGCAAGTGGATATTTCAGATAAAAAGGGGCAAAGATGGGTCAATTGCACACTACAAAGCATGTTTAGTTGCCAAGGGGTTTCATCAAAGGCCAGGTTCAGATTATCTCAACACTTTCAGTCCTGTTATTAAACCAACTACGATCTGGACTGTTCTCTCTCTTATAGTTAGTTCCCGGTGGCCCCTTAAGCAATTGGATGTGAATAATGCATTTTTACATGGTGAACTCGATGAAGAGCTCTATATGCAGCAACCTGCTGGCTTTATTGATCAGAATCATCCCTCACATGTTTGCCGCCTTCGCAAATCGATTTATGGCTTAAAACAGGCCCCCCGAGCTTGGTTTCGAGCTCTCAAGGACTTTCTTCTTTCACAGGGGTTCTTTAATTCCAAATCAGATTCTTCCTTGTTTATCTTTAACAGGGGGTCTGTTGTAGTCTTTTTTCTCGTCTACGTGGATGATATCATCGTTATTGGCAATAACCTTTCCTTCATTACCTCTTTAATCCAGACTATGGGACATCGCTTCTCTCTCAAAGAGCCTAGTGACCTCAGTTACTTTCTTCGCATCGAGGTTGTGTCTGTTAATGGCAGTCTCTTTCTTTCACAGCATCGCTATATCCAAGACTTATTACAGAAGTCGGGTATGACTGAGGCTAAACCCGTGGCTACTCCGCTTGCTTCCACTTCCAACTTGCTTCTCAACACCAGCGTTCCTCTTACAGATGGTTCATAATACAGGAAGCTTGTTGGTTCTCTTCAGTATCTTGCTCTCACACGACTTGACATTTCCTTTGTTGTTAGTCGTCTCTCACAGTTCATGCACAAACCCACTGATGTTCACTGGCAGGCTCTTAAGCGAGTTTTACACTATCTTCGTGGCACTGCCTCTCATGGAATCCTTCTTCAGCCACAACAATCCAACTCCATTCACGCCTTTTCTGATGCAAACTGGGCTGGGGACCATGACACTTGTCTCTCCACAACTGGATACATTGTTTTTCTTGGTAGGAATCCCATTTCGTGGAGAGCGGCCAAACAGCGTGCCGTTGCTCGTAGCTCCACCGAAGCAGAGTACAGAGCCTTAGCTGCGTCTTCATCTGAGCTTGT